CTGTTATATAATGTCTGTCCTATCTGACAGTGAATGCTGGACCATAGAGTCTCAGATGAATGCAACACTTTAAGGAAAAGAAATGTTCAAGAGTAGGATGCTGAGAATACCATGAACTATACATGACCAAGTTTTGGAGAAAAAAAATGAAAGAAAATGACACTTACGTTTAACATCAGGAAGAGAGAGTTGAAACTTCTAGGGCACATAATAAGGAAAGAAGGCTTTGGAAATTCGATCCAGGACAGCTCGAGTGTAGGAGAGACAGAAGAAACCTCAAACATCGAACGTGCTCCAGTAGATTAATGGCGGAACAAACTTTAGGAGAGACTAGACTATCCGTGATCTGCCTGGGTCATTAACGGTTCAGGTTATAAAACATTGAAGCTGATTTCAATTATTCCATTGAAATGAAAATTAATTTAATTATGATTCAGTTAAAGACTAGCAATAGAGCCCGGCGTTTCCCGGGGATGTAACAGTAAGAGATAGATCAAGTATCGACGATCATAAAGACTGAAAAATAAAATTGACAAAGATTATTGTCATAATTAGTTTTTTTTGTTTTGTTTTGTTTTGTTTTGTTTTTGTTTTTTGTTTTTTTTATGAATTGGTCAAACCAAAACTCAAGCAAAAACATTGTTTTCAGTCGTTATGAGTCTACCGATTGAATAGAATTTTATTATAAACAATTGTCTTGTAAATGGAATTTTTAAAGCATTCTGAATGTAAAAATAAAGAAAAAAGTGTGCAAGACAATAAGAAACACTACCTGCCAAAAAAAGTGAAGTTTTGTTGAAATCGTGTGAAAAATGTAGGAAATCCGATCCCATATATAAACGAACACACACACACAAACACACACACACACACACACAAACAACCTGGCTTTTATAAGTATATCGATATGAGTTGTCCTCCTTTCATTCTGGCGACAGAATCGTGTTTTATCGTGTTTTCAAATTGATTTCGGGCAAAAACAATTGTGTTTTTCCAATTTTTGGCGCTGTCAGAACCACCGCAAGGTAATTTTACGTAGTCCTGTCAAGTTTTGTTGAAATCGGTTGAAAAATGTAGGAAATCCGATCCAAAATATAAACGTACAGACACACACACACACACACACACACACAATCTACGTTTTATAATAAGTAAGATTTCAATTCGTTCGTGTGATCATTGGTCTGGTTTACAAGTTCATGTTTAACGTTTTATTGATTGTTTACAGCATTTAATCGTAATAGAACTTCCGGGATAAACTTGAAGTTTAAAACAGATTAATTTAAAAATATTTTTTAATATGCAAAAACATATTTTAAAATCATATTCACTTGAAAATATTTTTTAAATATGCCAAAAATTATTTTTTTCAAATATTTAAAATATTGTTTGTTTAAAGAAAGCTAAAATATAAATAATTACTCTACAAACAACTGTACAAAACAGCAAAGCGGGATCTCTTTGTGTCTGTCTTTAACTTAAAAATATTTTCATTAAAAAAAAATTGTCTGTTTGAAGAGTTAAAATAAAAATATTTACTGTGTAAACAACTCGTATTTTAAAATCTTATTCACTTAAATAGGATTAACTTAAATCATTATGCTCCGGTCAAATGCACAACACAAGCACGCAAACACCAACGAAATTAAAGACAGTTACTATTAGATAGATAGATAGATAGATAGATAGATAGATAGATAACACACTGAGATAGATAACACATTGAGATAGATAGATAGATAGATAGATAGATAGATAGATAAAGAAAGAAAGAAATGACAATATATTTTTAGTTGGTTGATTTCGTTTTACTGCATAGCAATCTGTATGGTTAATTTAAGCCTGAAATGTAAATATTTTGCATGTACTTTATGCTTTCGACTAAAGATATAGTGTACATAATTTTAAAGGTAAAAGATATGCTTTTAAATATATGATTTGTAGATCATAAAATGTATTTGTTGGTAAATTTACTAAAAAAAAATCTATATTTATATTTTTTAGTGTTGCATTGATTGTCATTTTTTCTATAAAATATTATTGTCACTCATTTTATTGCAAAAATATACCGTTGATGTTTGCTTCGATGTTCACTACACGCCCATTGAACAGTGTTAAACAGGTGCTACCTTCCGGGGTTAAGGGAGGGACCTGGAAACAGCAGTAGTTAAGTGAGGGTATCAAGTGCCTAAAAATCCCGATCAGAGGCCCTGCTACCGGATGCAGTTTATCGTCATGCCACAAAATGAATTACAAAGCACAGGTAATTGTCGAGAGCCAAATCCCGAAGAAACACCGCAAATAGCTGAAGAATAAAAATAATTGATCTTTGACTTTAGGAAACGTTAGCAACTTTGAAGAATATATTTCATCTTCGTGTTCTCACGTCGGGATTTTTAAAATATTTTGTTTAATACTAAAATCCATCCAAAGTAACGCAAAAGAGTAACTCCTGGTAGATTATTTACATTATTCAGACTATTGTCCTTATCTTTGTCGCCATATTTATTACAAAGTTTCGGCCGTTGTACGCTCCGGCCTTCTTCAGGTGGTTGGAATGTCGAACTGAACCCTTTATTTCGCACACTGGGGTAGACTGTTCTAGTTCAACGTGCCATGTTTTAATGGATGTCAGTTATTAGTTATCTCCTGTTAATTCCCGTCTGCAAGTTCTCCACTGCCTTAACCGGGTACTGAACTCACACACTTTGGGTACTGTCACTGGATCTAACTAACGCCTTTATCCACTGTGCGGTATGTTCTTGATAGGCAGATTCTAGCACTGTTAGACATTTTCTGACGGTCATCTTCGAGTATAGAATCCAGAGGTTAGCAGCGAATATGTCGGAGAGAGTAGGAAATCGTAGTTCAGGTTAGCAGTGGATATCGTAGCAGAGCGTAGTACTTCCTTCTGTCATCTTCGCCTGACAAGTTGGCACTGGTCATTCGGGTAGGTAAACAAAAATGGTCGCCCTTATACACGACGGATACAATGTTCTGAGGCTTCTGATTGGTTAACCTTCTATTGGTAGACTATAAAGGGAGTTAAGTCATTTTGACTAACTCACTAGTTACATTATATACACAAAAAACTGTAACAACTAAATAAAGATTATGTGGAGAAAGTGGAAAAATGGCGATTGGTTCTAGACTTTAAAATGGTTAAGAAACTAAGGTTCAAAGAAGCATTCACACGGTAACTTGTTCCATGAAGTAGCTGATCACGTGTTAGGGCATTGTCTGAGCGGAACTTCCTCATGTCAAATACAGCGGAAATGCGGGTGATTCAACCTCGTGGACTTAACGAAAGGAACTACAATGTCTGAACTAGGGGAACTAAAATGTTTGTCTCATCTGAAGAGTTATCTGGAAATAACAATAGTGTAATGGCTGAAGCACTGAAGACAAACACTAGAGTTAGGGAATCGCTTGAAACGTTGTCTCTAGGAAAAGAGCTGGATAAGTTTAAATAAGTCATCCACTAAAAGACCGGGCAAAGGGCTTAAAAATTTATCAGTGCTAGAACAAGAGGATTGCGCAGCTCCCAGGCGAGATAAACATTTAATAAGATGGGTATTTCGAACGAGATAAAAGCTTATTCATAAAGGGATGTCAGCGGAAAGAGGCATAGTTATACGCGGGAATTAAGTCTGATGCGCATATGCATTGTTGAAAATATACTCCAGTCTGTTATTAAATTATGCCAGCCAATGTTATAATTATAATGAAGCGTGGATCATTAGAATTTGCGAAGAGGAAATAATTCATGTTGATCCTGGGCTTTTCGCTAAATTATTTCAATTATTCAAATAACTGATCATTAATGATAATTGTCATATTTCACGTCTCCTAGCGAGCATTTTTCAATTTAATTTAGCACCTAGAGTGTATCTATGCGTCATATGCAAAGGGTAAAATATTGGCAGGCACTTGAAACCATTTTAAAACATGTTACCATAGCAACTGAATCATGTGAAATGATGTAGATACACTAGTTATCTACTGGGCTTTCGCATATACCCTGTTGAGCCAAAAACGTTATGAACCTCTGGCTAATAAAGTCTAGCTTCTCTTACCTGATGAAATATATATTTCTATTAGGTTGTGTCCAAAGAACAATTGCTATTTTGTTTATCAACATGATTCTTCAAAGAAATAAAGAACAACGGCGTGTTATTCAATTAAATTAAATTCTTGATAAGATACAAAGAAGAATCTGTAATGCTGTTGAACTCACAATCTTTGGGTCCTGTCACTGGATCTAACTAACACCTTTATCCACTGTGCCATGTGTTCTTGATAGACAGATCCTAGAAGATTATTATTTGGCATCTCGTCTTCAGTTCTTTTCCCACCGTCGTAACCTATCTTCTCTGCGCTTTTCTATAAACACTTTCATGGTAATTGTTCTGATGAACTTTCCTCTATTGTACCTAGATTTTATGAATTTAAGCACAGTACTTGACTGGCGAGTGATTCTCACCATTTTACAGTTCAAATGGTTCAATATTAACCGTAAGTTCTATGTTAACATTTTCTTCTATCACGTTTCTTCCTTATGAGATTGTCTTTTCTCTGTCATCTTTGATCTTCAAAAGTTTAAGCACAAAGTAAATCGTTATCAATTTTTTTTTAATTCGTTCTTTTATTGTCTTCTCTCCTTAATATTATATTATATTTTTTAACACTCAATTACTTCTTATGTCTTAATGGCTTTTTTTGCCTTGCTTGGAATCAAATGGTTAGAAAAATATGAACCATTTTTTGCGATTATTTACATTTACTTATCCGGCTGTTCTCCCATACATTTTGAGTAACATTTCGCAGGTTTTATGTGAAAAAAGTTTTCAACGACCTCTTGAATCCTATTTATAGAAAGTTTTCCAAATCAATGCGTTTTCCAGCAATATAAAATTCGGATCTAACGGGCTCTGGTCAGAATGTTCATTCTCTACGGCTAGATAGTGAATACGTGGTCAGAGAGTGATGGGGATTTCCACATGCTCTATGTATTCGACCACTTCTGCCTGCGCAGTATTCTGCGCGGCCGCTGGCAACACCACACCGTCGGTTCTCGCTGCAAATTTGGCTCTCTCAGACAAGTCCTGCTCACAGGGAGACTTCAGTGGTTTGGTCATGCTCTTCGTCGACAGCCAGGCGTCTTCAACCGTGAAACGATTTCTCCGGAGACAACACAGTGTTGGTGGATTAAGCGTGGCGGACAGTTTAAACGTAGCTTACGACAATTAAAGATGACGTCGAACCGTTCTTAGGTCCGTACGTCTTCGGGACACGCCGTTGGGACCTTGATTGTTTAGCTCTTAGTTGTATCCGGCCGCTGAGCTTAGTCGGCTTTCTTTCGGGGTGCGGAAAGTACGCATGACGGAGCCGGTTCAACCGATCCCGGGTAAATTCCGCCACTAGGTAAGAAGCGGGTGCATGGATCGAAAACTGCAATTATCGATGTGTCTAAGGTCAGGTGAATATGGATGCTAGGGTAGAACAGAAGAACAGTGATCCAAAATTATTGCGTTATTCTTCCTTTATACGGCTTTGCGTTGTAAAGGTTAAGAACAACCTTTGTCTTTTAATGCTCTGTGTACCCTGCCACGGCCAGACAATAAAAAAGTTCTCTTAGTGTACTCCAAGTGTAGCTAGGTTCATACATTTGTCATTACATTCGGTTAGCCAAAAAGGAAATTACTTATGGCTCGGCTTAATACAAGACCAGTAAAATCCCCACCGGGAACATGCTCCGGTAGGTTAACAGCAGGTATTTTCACTTTCGTGAAGGATGTTCTGTGGCGTGCACTTCTAGAGTAATTGGATATGTTTAAATGTAATTGGCAGAAATGCCCCATAAACAGAATCGCAAAGTTTCCAAGAAACAATAGCAAGAGAAGAAAAAGGACAGAGCAAAAATGCCATTACACAAGCAAAGAATATATCCAAGGCAAAAGTAGGCAAAGCAACAAAAATAATGCAAGAAATTCACAAGGGGATACAGACAAGCGATCGCAGTTTTCGGATTTTAATACAGGAAAGAATATAACTAAATCAAATAAAGCAAAGAGATGTTTTATTTTATTGGCTAGGAATAAATTCCAGTATGAATCTATATGTTTTGTCTATAAATTTAGGGAGATGGGTATTTTTTTTAGTCATTTCTTATTGGATACCAACAATCAGAATTTGTTCGTCCAAATTGTAGCATAAGCGCTAAGTGAGTTCTTGTCTGGAGAGATTGGTAGCCTGGGCAACACATTGAAATCGATTTCATGTTACTAAAACCATTCCAATAGAACGCATACAAGATTACAAGATTACAGGGCACGTTGTCGTGTAACTCGATGCTACTACCATATAAGAAGTATATTGCCCTGAATAATTACATATAGTCTTCACATATATGGGGATACGAGTTACCTCACAAAGGAGGTTCTGCCGATTAATAGAGCTAAGTGATTCCCAGTAGAAATTTTGCCAATTATTTCATTCTGCCTCTACCTGCCAAGGGTTATTCCACAGTGCATCCTAGTATTCTTGACTCCTCTGGATAACAATGCATACATACGTTGACTTTCATCTTAGAAAAGAAAAAAATGACGATCTATTTGATCAAGTAATTTCTTACATTGATTTGGTTCTGTTCCCAAAAAGAAATTTTTATGGACTTTAGGTAATGTGTATATTTTTACAGTGCTGCTTTATATGCAACAAAGATCGACGTACTGTGTTTTGAGACAGACTCCTTGCTGTATTTTGTTTTATGATGCATTCCTTGGTACTTGGTGTGAAAGCCTTCGATCACATTTCTCATCGATATGTTATGACCGCTTAATATCTTGTCCGCGGTTGTCGAAATTTTCCACCTCGGGCCGCTATCGATATTTACTCAGTGAATATAAGCACCCCACAGGCCATATTGTTTTGAAAATGTTCTGATCTAAATTTCTGGACTTGATTAATAGCATTCATTAACCTTCGCGCCAACAACTGTGGAATTCGAAACATCAAAATGTCATATTCGCGTTTGTCTTACTTGCTTATAGATATCTGGCTGTGATATGCCCACGAGGCAGATATCTTATTCTTTGCACGTGTCGCCCATGATAAATGTCATCAATGTACATCTTAGTGTGATAAGGAATGCTTCAAATGGTGGTGAAGATGAAACGCTTTTCGAATTATCTGCGAGCGAATATGATAATCACAAATTTTCCGAATTCAAAGTTTCCGTTAAGGACGTCAGTGATCATATCATGCCACAAATTTCTATATATTGCAGCACTTGGCATTTTTTCTTTCCTTTTACCTCCCGTTTCCTGGTCTGAAACCCATTTTTATAAGTTGCTTAGGTTGTTTATTGGTCGCTTTCTTCTTTCCATTTTGCTTTCAATATTTCTTCTGTATACCAAATTTTCTCAGGTTTATTTCATCATTTTGTGTCCAATAAATTTTACCCCTTCCTGATATTTCTTATAAATTTTCTGTTTCGATTTACGTTTTTACCTTTGCTTAGATATTCCGCTCATGGAATTCTCAGTATCCTTCTGTAGAAACACATTTCTGCTGTTTTAAATCTTCTATTCATCTGTGAGTAAATTCGCAATCTGTCAATCCCATATAGGATAAAATGAATTTCATAGATTTATTAACAATTTTATTCTTCGTTTATAACGGAATTTACCTGATTCTTGATAATTTATTTAATTCCTGAAGGACATCTTTTCCTATTCCAATGAATCTTTTGATTTCGCTGTCACGTCTTCCCTCCTCTCTTCAAACAATTCCCAGCTATTACCTTCGTTAACTGTAGAAAACATTTTGACTAACGTCTTGATTAATACCCGTCAAATTAATCTTTACGTAAATAAATAAGGAATACAAAACATAAAAAATGTGGTACTTAAATTTGTCTTATTTGCATATAGATATCATTGATTTGTTATGAGGCAGTAGCTGGTATTCTTTGCACATATCACCTATCGCAAATACTGTCAAAGTACATGTTAATTTGGTAAAACATTGTGAATTATAATCGAAAAACAGTCATCTCAAGACGTGTGTGATAAGGAAAGATCTAGATGGCGGTGAAGATGAAACGCTTTTCGAATTGCCTGCGAGTGAATATGACAGTCACGATTTTTCACATTTCGAAGTTTCCGTTAAGAGAGAATAAACTTGATCGACGCAGGTGATTTTTTTTTCTTACGAATGCATTTTTTTAGGTACGTATTACAGCACCAATTTCATGAAAACCTTTGAACTGAGTTCAGTTTCCTTTTTATTTAATGATATATATATATATATATATATATATATATATATATATATATATATATATACTTTTAAGGTATGCTATGTTTATGGGTTAAAGTGATCAGTATCAGTGATAGAGTCTATGTAAATATAGAAGTGGGTATTGAAGACAACACTCAAAGATGACAGTGTGTTTCATGCTAAACGAAATTGTGATGTCATATATATATATATATATATATATATATATATATATATATATATATATACGTGTGTGTGTGTGTCTTTTTTTTTTGTGTGTGTGTCGTTTTTATACATATTGTTTACTATTTTTTAAATAATAAAGAGAGGCGTGCCTCCGTAATTGACATCTGTTACAGAGTTAAACGATAATTCATTTCAAAGATATATATATATATATATATATATATATATATATATATATATATATATATATATATGAAATAAGAATAAATGGAGTTTAATTCCAATGTCTGTATTTTTTAATATTGGCTTGGTTAATCATCCGTGACACTTTTTTTTTTAAAGTAAAAATATTTCGGAAGGCAAACATTTGTCGAATCTTTTAGAACAACAATTTCTTATTGTTATTCTAACATTTACATATATGTATGATTTTTTAAAAAAATTTCATTACATTTTGGTTATATTTCCTAAAATGGAATGCCAAGTAAACAAAAGTGCTCATTTTCGATACCTTATGCTTTTTGAATATAATCGAAGAGTTAATACCGCTAAGGCAGCTCGTGAGGTATGTGATGTGTATGGAGATAGAGCAATGTCCCAGAGTACCGCCCGACGTTGGTTTTCAGGCTTCAGAAAATTTTGAGCTGGAGAATAGGAAGCGGTATTGTCGACTTCTTGAAGAGCGATTCAACTTGTTCCTTCACGAAAATCAAAGTCAGACGACCAGAGAATTGCCGGAACAGATGAATTGTGATCACAAAAATGTAGTAAATCATCTTTATTCAATAGAGAAAGTTTAGAAACTTGGTTTATGGGTGCCACACGCGTTGAATGACCACAACAAGAATCCGCGTGCAAGAATTGCAGCTTTTTGTGGGCTCGGCATTGCTCAACATACGGTCATAAACAGCGTTTTCTTTATAGCATTATCACTGGCGATGAAAAATGGTGTCTTTGCGTCAATATGAAGCAACGTTAAGAATGGCTCAGCCCCAATAAGCAAGCGACACCTCGAGCAAAACAAGACCTTTTTGTGTGTATGGTGAGACTGAGAAGACATAATTCATTATGAATTACTTGAGCGAAACAAAATTGTAAATGCCGAGCTCTAGGTTTAACAACATCACTGTATCCGTGAAGCAATAAAGACCGAATCAGCGATAGCATGTTCTTTTTCAACACGACAACGCTGGTCCTCACATCGCCAACATGACCAAAACCGTTATTCAAGAATTTGAATGGAAAGTGTTGTCTCATCCTCCATACTCACCACACTTGGCACCATCAGATTTTCATCTTTTTCGAACTCTTTTCAGCGACTTACGGGCTTTAACATTTAATACTGATGTTGAATTGAAGGTTTCGTTGGACGAATATTTCAGCTCAAAACCAAGAGAATTTTTATCGTCAAGGAATAGAAAAAAAAACTCTGTGACCGATGGGAAAAAGTTATCAACAGCAATGGAAATTATATTATAGACTAATTTGGGCACATCCAGGCAGTGTAATGGCTAGCAAGCAAAAAGTACATACATTTTGTGTATACACTATTTACATTATCCGGACTATTGTCCTCTTCTTTGCCGCCATATTTATTACAACGTTTCGGCCGTTGTACGCTCCGGCCTTCTTCAGGTGATTGGAATGTCGAACTGAACCCTTTATTTCGCTCACTGTTAATTGTCCTCTACAAGTTCCCCACTGCCTTAACCGGGCATAGAACTTACTCTCTTTTGGAACAGTCTACCCCAGTGAGCGAAATAAAGGGTTCAGTTCGACATTCCAACCACCTGAAGAAAGCCGGAGCGTACAACAGCAGAAACGTTGTAATAAATATGGCAAAAAAAATGAGGAGAATAATGTAAATAGTGTACATAATACCTCATCTCAGAAATATAGACATATCTTGTATATGTATATTACACTTTTTTTTTAACTTTTAAAGACTTCCGTTGCATTTAATGGTTTCTTAAAGAAGTCTTTTTATTATCAACTATAAAAAAATGTTATAGTTAGCTATATAATTGATTGTTTTCCAACATCTCCTTTTAGATTTGTATAAAATTGATCAAGTTATATTTGGTTCAAAATGATGATACATGGCTTCCATCCGCTGATAGTTTGTATTAATCTCTTGTCTGCGAGGTATGAACCTGTTTAAGATTATATTTCGAACGACATTTTCCCATGATCAAAACTCCCCCTTTTTTAGCCTAGGACTGAAACCTGATCGGTTAATCAGGGTAAAGACATAAGCATCATTCAATTTTTTTTTTGTTTTTGTTATCTGCTTTTGATATTTAAAAACAACTTTTTACTCACCACTTATTTACTATCGCTTGAGGAGGCACAATTTGAGTAATGAAACATGAAAGCTATTGTATAGCGATTTTTATCATGTTTTTGTTTTATATATATATACACAATCATTTGTATATAGATTGCTAGGGAGTATGAGTTTAAAACAGAGATATTCCAAGGGAGAAGCAAAACTTATTTCCATGTATATACCGCAATGCCAAGGACAAAAATACTGCGTGCGAGAAAGGAAATCTGCCGATGTCTTTAGACAATTAGTAATAGGCCTATTCCACATGTCTGTAGGTTATAAGTAAATCAGGAATAAAGTTTAGCATTTAAATAGACATAATTTGCTTAATAACAATACCTACTCAAATTCATCATATTATGAGACCTTTGTTTGTCTTGGTTGCAATACGCCATTAGATAATATATATTGTATAAAATTAAATCAAATTTGACCAGATTTTGCCCGTTTTGATTCCTGCAAAAATAGGATTGTGTTCTCGACTAAGACGCAGCATTTTTGCACGCGACTTTGAATGAAAAAAAAACCTGCATATTATACACATCCGATTACAGTATATATATATATATATATATATATATATATATATATATATATATATATATATATTACAAATACTTTCATGGTAATTGCTCCGAGGAGCTGCATTCGCTGGTTCTCAGACTTCATGAATTCAAGCGTACGTGGCTGGCATTTCTCACCCTCAATGTAGAAACTTTTAAATGTAGCCGTCTCTTCTACAATAGATTCATATCTCGCACCTCTTGCCTGTGGAACTCCCTTCCCTATTCCAGTTTCCATGAGAGCTATAATCTCGAACTATTCAAATGTAATGTCGATCAACATCTCCAGTTGCCTTGATCTATCCACTATCCTTCTCCTCATCCTTTCCTCTATCACTCCTGTCTGCTCTTGCTCCAAATTTTCTGTAACCCCTTGCGTCCTAGTGGCTTCCCGCCTTGCTTGGGGTGAAACGCTTAAATAAAATATATATATATATGGGCGTGTGTGTGTGTGTGTGTGTGTGTGTGCGTGTGTGTTCTTCGCTTCAAGATCGAGGCACTACTCCACACCCAATCAGATTTGCACACATAGGTGTGTTATGGTTTCAAAGTCATTAAGTGTGCATGAGACTTCAACATTGGAGCAGACTAGAAGATGCTCCATAGTTTGTAATTGTTAGCATTGACAGTTGGGATTGTATATATATATATATATATATATATATATATATATATATATATATATATATATATATATAGAGAGAGAGAGAGAGAGAGAGAGAGAGAGTAATGTGTACCAATTTTCTTTATTTGGCTCTTCCAAACAGAGTGGCAGGTTCTACAAAAGCCTTCACCCCTGTAATCAAATCATTTGTGCGATAACGGTAGCTATTCGGTTCTAAAAGATTTATTCATCCAATACACCATAAATGAGAAAAGAGACTACTTCTTGTTTTTATCTATATATATGAAGATAGATAGATAGATAGATAGTCAGTCAGTCAGTCAGTCAGAATTATAAATGAATGTCAATTTTGGTTCCAACACAGATTAGCAAGATAATCCACCGAATAATTTAAGCAAGATTAAAACATGCTTAATATATTGAAATTATAGAGCTGTAAAATTTTGTTTTACATAAATAGACATTGTCAAAGTGAGTGAAGAAATTAACTCGGCACGTTTCAAACTTCAACAATAATCAGATCAAATGTCATTAAACCTGTTGAGCACTCCGTTCTATAGAAATGTCAACCACGCAAGGAATAGCGACACTTGATCTGGTGAGTGTTAAGGTTAAGATTAGGGAGGCGTGTAACTGAAACTTACACTTGCATTTTGTTTTCTGTGTCTACACCTTTGTTTTTTTTTATTATCTCGAAAAGATCTAACTCTGATATTGGCTAATCATTGTCAACAAATATAGCTCTTTTGTGTAGGTGTCGAAGAGAAATAGGGAGATAAAGAAAGAGTAATGTTGTATGACAATTCAATAAAATAGTATATATATATATATATATATATATATATATATATATATATATATATCGGACAGTTTTGATATAATTCATTATCAGAAAAGAATAATATCAGAAGAACACAAGAAAAATTGAATAAAACTTTAACCGCAGTACCTTGTCTGTCGTTTTAATGAATATATATATATATATATATATATATATATATATATATATATATATATATGTATATATATATATATATATATATATATATATATATATATATATATATATGTATATATATATAAATATATATAATACACACGCGCATGCACACACACATACACACACACATATATATATATATATATATATAATGAACATTTAGGCAACACTCAGTGTTAACACTCTGACTGTTAACTTCAATATTCACTTTTATGTTTACCTAAGCTCTATCGCTGATATTGATCACTTTATCCCATAAATATAGCATACCTTAAGACTCTATTTTCAATATATATATATATATATATATATATATATATATATATATATATATATATATATATTAGGCAATTTGTAATTTCTTCCACCTTAAAAAATGTTACAGAAACCTCATATATCATTCTTTATTTCACAAAAAACTAAAATAATATTTAACTTGTCTTTTGTTGGAGATAATGTACAAATTGTGTCTATTATACGGATTTTCCTAATTAACTGATTGCATTCCGAATTCTTAAAAAAGAATGTTGTTTGAAGATTTCGATTTTCTTCAGTCATTGTCATGAATCTATTACATCAATATTGAATATATTGAAAAAGAAAGGCCGTCAATTTAATCTGCAATACATTCGTTATGAACGTACAACATTGCATAAATAAAATTAAAATAATACTGTCCACAAGAAAGAAAAGTAAGCAAACTCATCAATTCAAATAATTCTGAAAATTTCTCGAAAATAACTTCTGTTTAAAAAAAAATTGATTAATTATACTCTAAGTTTAAAACTTATAAAGCTGGTCCCGTTGTACGCCCAGTAATCTCACAAAATTACTACGTAAATAAATCTTGTCATATTAATCTTGGAAATAGAATGCTAATTTACGAATTGGGTCTGCACAAATATTTCATTCTAAAAAATCCAGCAATAACTTCTTCTTCTTCTTCTTCTTCTTCTTCTACTACTTTTCGTCTTCTTCTTCTTCTTCTTCTTCTTCTTCTTCTTCTTCTTCTTCTTCTTCTACTTTTCGTCTTCTTCTTCTTCTTATACTTTTCGTTTTCTTCTTTTTCTTTTCATCTTCCTTTGCTTCTTTTCTTCTTCTACTAATACTTTTTTCTTCTTCTCTACCACTTCTTTTCCCCCTTCTCTTCTTCTTCTATTTCTTTTCCTCTTTTCTTTTTCTTCTTCTTCTACTTATTTTCTTCTTTTCTACACTTTTTTATACTATTTCTTCTTCTTCTTCTTCTTCTTCTTCTTCTTCTTCTTCTTCTTCTTCTTCTTCTTCTTCTTCTTCTTTTTTACAGTATCCCTGTGATGCTTAATGTCCCCCCAACATTCTATTCTTTGTAGTTCTTAGCAATGTTTCTCTTCGTAATATCACTCTTTTCCCCTGTTCTGCCACCTATTTACACAAGATGCTTAGGTAAGCTATTCACTGCTTTCATCTGCGCCCTTTGCTATTAATATTTCCTGTAAATGGTAAATTCTTCAAGCCTTCTTTCATTCTTATGTGTCTGAGAAATATAATCTTTTTCTGATTCTAATTATAAATTTCTTTTTTGTTTAGAATTTCTCCTTGCTTACATGTATAATATTCTCAGTATCCTTTTACTTAACAATATTTCTCTTGCCTCAAGTATTCTGTTCATCTGTTTATTAAACATTCGCTTCCATATGGGATAAATTAAATTCCATAGCATTTTAACCTCTTGTAACAAGACAGCTGGGAAGAAAGATTTTATTCTCCCAATAATTTCCCCCGTTATGGGCATTATTATCTCTGTGATATAACAATACCGTAGTTCACGGATGGAAAAGAATAGCTGAACTGAAAAGGAATAACAAACGTGCTTTGTCCCCGGAGTTACTTTTATATCACTTAGCCATACTCAAATCTATATATACATATATACATGTGTCACACGCAAAAAATATCACACACACACACACACACACACACACACACACACACACACACATATATATATATATATATATATATATATATATATATATATATATATATACACAGAAAAAGAGAGTGTAAGGAGAAATAAAAAGGATGGGTCTTACATATATTATGGAGATTCTTCTGCGATTTCTGGAGAATCCATGTTTAGGACCTCAGATTCAAATGGACCGGATTTATCTACTAGGCGATGACATATTCCAAGAAGAAGACGTCGAGTCTTGGGTTTCCCAAATCGAGGACTGCGAATCGGAGTTATTCCCAAGAAAAAAAGGCATCATATCATTCTAAGCTCCTAGGGGAGGCAGATTTAGCCTCAGCCGGGCCATTTGGGCCAGGCTAAAAAAAAAAAAAAAACAATCGCTCGGTGTGGCTGTTGTAAACGAACTGAATAACTGAGCAATCTGGTCATTTTATGAAGTGACGTCAGCAAGCGGCAGTCACGTAACCCACGTGACTCATTTCCACCAAAGGGAGATAATCACTTTCTGTTTCCCTACAACTTGCCCTTCGTTTCTAATGAAATTTTCCCTTTTTCATTCAATTTTCGGAAGGTAACTTTGCCTATTCAATTGTGCCTTTGGATTTCGCTGACACATTGTCACTCCTATGTTAAAACACTTCCCAGATATTAGGTTCATTAATTGTAGAAAAAAAACTTTTCCTAATGCCCCCGTTAAGGACCCAATAGACGTCAATATAAATAACGTTTACATCCGTTTTCCTTGACAAGCTTAGTATTAAACGTATGATATTAAAATTAATATTAGTATATTCTGTATAAGTTCCATTGTATGACCACCTAGGCAACATATCTACACAGATGAACGGAGTTGCTATGTGCTGGCCTTTGGTTTCTTTATTCATAGACTTTTATGTCTTATTTAGAAAAGAAATTATTTAATGAAATAACTCAGTCAACCATAATTTTAAATGGTTTCATTTTCGCCAGATATTCTAAAAGATATTGAAAAGTTAAAACAAATATTAGAAGGAAATTAATTCCTCAATTTTATACACGATCTAAGTATTGATGAAGAAATTCCTGTTTTAGAGTAGACGTCCTGTTGTTTCTGCTAGACACAATTTTTATTCTTTCTATTCCTAAAAGCAATCTAGTTGGATGTCTTAACTACAATGGTTACAACAGTCATCGATATAAAATAGACGTTAAAAATTGTCATTAATCGAGGTAAACTTCTGAAATGTCAACGTTCCAGATACAATATGTTTTAGTTGGGAGATATGTGACGTTCTGAAGACGTTGTTATCAACTGTATTCGTAATAATTAATTAATTCATTCATTCATTCTTTACCTCCATCCGTCCATCCTTCCTTCTTAGATCTTTATACTTTTTTTTTCTTCTATTCATTTCTGTTTCATTCATTTGTACTTCGTTCGGTCGTTCCTTTCTTTCTTCTTTCTATCCTTCCTTCATAGCTATTTAATTTTTTTTCTCTTATTTATTCTGCTGTTTTCATTCTTATTTCGTTTCGTTTATTCCTTCTTTCTTTCCTTCCTTCCTAGATCTTTATTCATTTTTTCTTCTATCTTTCTGTTTCTTTCTTTCGTTCATTCGTTCGTTCCTTTCTTTTTTTCCTTCTTCTCATTCCCTTTCACTATTCATTCATCTTTATCACTTTTTTTTCAGAATTCTATTTGTTTTTATTTTTCTTCGTTTTTCTTCTCTTGTATTTTTCTTCTTCTTTTTTTCTCTTCATACACTTATTCTCCTTCTTTTCAATTTTTAGGTACCGCTTTCGATTTTTTTCCTTCTTCCATCATTTGCTTTTCGCTTGCTATGTTTTCTTTCACTTCTTTTCTTCATCTTCCCAATCCGCGTTGTTTTACTTATATTTCATTCTGCCTACTCTTTTCTCCCCACTTTTCCTCTGTTCTCCTTTCTATACCTTTTCAACTTCAAAATGATAATAATCAACTTCAAAATGGACTTATTTTCAGGTAAAAAAATTAATCAACTTCAAAATGGATCAATCAACTTCAAAATGGATCAATCAACTTCAAAATGGATTAATCAATTTCAAATTGGAAAACAACTTCAAAATGAGAAATAATCAACTTCAAATTGGATTAATCAACTTCAAATTGAGAATTAATATAATACTAATAAATTTAATATTTATTCTTTTATTTTTACTTAAAAGGGATATAAAAAAAATATAAACGTTCCTAAGAAATTTATTTAAAAGATTACATCATCTAAGTTAATTACAGAGGGAAGTAATCTCTGTATTCCAGATACGAAGTTAGTGCAAGTCTCAGGGGAAATATTATTAATTGCCTCGGAGATCATCGCTTCTATCTTGCTGAGGCGGAATTCTTTAGTAGTTGAAGATCCCTGGCCATCACCTCTTAAAATCCCAACAATTGAGTCTGCCATACTTCTTTTTACGTCAGTTTTAATGACTGACCAAACCTTTTCAATGGGTTTTAACATCGATCTATAGGGGGCAAGTCTGAAAATTTGGTGTTGCCTAAATTCATCCTCCTCCACAACTTCTTCAATTGAAGTATGGCAAGGGGCGTTATCAATAACTAAGACAACTCCTCTTTCATAAATTTCATTTGTCTTTCTAAGGCACTCCCTGGTCCATTCTTTCGCATCCTCTTTTTTGAAAGAACCTCTTTTTATTTTATGATGAATTAATCCATTATTAGTAATACATCCAATATTTCAATTTACCAAAACATATCTCAATTTGAAGTTGTTTATTCCAATTTGAAGTTGTTTATTCTCATTTTGAAGTTGATTGTTTTTAGTTTTTTGACATTTTCTCAATTTGAAGTTGATTAATCTATTTTGAAGTTGATTGTTCCATTTTGAAGTTGATTAATCCATTTTGAAGTTGATTAATCCATTTTGGAGTTAAATTTTTACTTGAAAATAAGACCATTTTGAAGTTGATTATTATCATTTTGAATTTGAAAAGGTATAGATCTGTAACCATTTTTCATTCTATTCTTTCTGTTTCATTCATTTTTATTTCGTTCGTCCCTTTCTTTCTTACAATCCTTCCTTATTAATTTTTTTTTTTATTTCTTCTGTTTCTTTCATTTGTTTCTTTCTTCCTTCTTTGCTCCCAGAACTTTATCCATTTTTTCTTCTATCTTTCAGTTTCATCCATTTCTATTTTGTACGTTCTTTTATTTGTTCGTTCCTTCTTTTCTTCCTTCCGTTCATCTTTTTTCCCATCCTACCCTCCTAGATCTGTATTCTCTTTTTCTTTTATTCCATCTGTTTCATTCATTTTTATTTCGTTCGTTTGTGTGTTCCCTTCTTCCTACCTTTTATCCTTCCTTCCTAGATATTTAATTTCTTTTTTTCTATTTCTTCTGTTCCTTTCATTTTTATTCCCTTCCTTCCTTCCTTCCTTCCTTCCTTCCTTCCTTCCTTCCTTTCTTCCTTCCTTCCTTCCTTCATCCATCTTTCCTTCCTTCCTTCTTTCCTTCCTTCCTTCCTTCCTCCCTTCCTTCCTTCCCCTCCCTCTCTTCCTTCCTTCCTTCCTTCCTTCCTTCCTTCCTCCCTTCCTCCCTTCCTTCCTTCCTTCCTTCCTTCCTTCCTTCCTTCCTTCCCTCCCTCTTCCTTCCTTCCTTCCTTCCTTCCTTCCTTCCTTCCTTCCTTCCTTCCTTCCTTCCTTCCTTCCCCTCCCTCTCTTCCGTCCTTCCTTCCTAGATCTGTATTTCCTTTTTTTTATTCATTCTGTTTCCTTTATTTTTAATTCTTTTGTTGGTTTTTTTCTTCCTTCCTTACTTCATCGAACTTTCTCGTTTTGCAATCTTTTCACTCTCTTTTCCTTCATTTTTCTCCTTCGGTCTTACTTCTTTCTCTTCCTTCTTGCCTTCTGCATTCCATCATTTACACTAAGTCACTCCTTCTTTACATGTTTATTTACATTGTCGTTCCGTTTTCTTCCGTCATTACCTTTCACGATTTATTCATCTTTCTTCGTTTTTCGTCTCTTTTTTTTTCTTCGTTTTTCGTCTCTTTTTTTTCTTCTTCCTTTCTTTCCTTCTTTCTTTTCTCTTTATACACTTATTCACCTTCTTTTCAATTTTTGTCCACTGCTTACGCTTTTTTCCTTCCTCTATCATTTTGTTTCCTACAACTAGTTTACTTTCACTCCTTTTCTTCATCTTCTCAATCCACTTATTTTTACTCATATTTCATTCTTATCTACCTACCATTTCCTTCTCTCTTTTCCTTTTTTTTCTCCTTCTTTACTTATTCCATTCCTTGTACTTTATCCCTTTCTCTTTTCTCTCTTTCTCCCTCCTACTTTTTTTTTTCCATTTCCCTTCCATCCTCTTATTTCTTATTTTTCTTTCACCAATTCACCATTCCTTTCTTTTGTCTCTTTTCCGACATTCAATGTCTTTTTTAATTTTTTAAAGATTTTCACTATTTTCTTTCATAAAATCTAAATCCTCTTCCAATCTTTCATTTATCCAATAAGATTTCGATGACAAAAAAAAACAAAAAAAAAACAGTTAAATTATTTTCTATGTCTAGAAAGGCAACACATATTCATTCGTATTTGAAAACAATCAGCTATTTTTAATCATGGCTTTTTAGAAAATCTTGATTCTATTTCGGGAACACAGAAATGATTTCTTTGATTTATTTAACAATTTATGTTCCCGACATTGATTTTTTTTTTATTCTTTTACATCTTTTGTTTAATTTCCTCCTACCGGTAAATTATTTTTGTTTATATACTGAATCCTTGTGAGGCGTTTCTTCTCGATATTCTTTTTACGGGTTTCTCTAACAAATTTGCCAATGTGGATTTCACATGTTTATTTGCACCATTATATTTGTAGATGTCCAGTCTTTATTTTTTTTTAAATTTTCTTCCACTTTTTATTTGTACCTTTTTTTCCACTTTGGTCTGATTCTTTCATATAAAATATGTAGCATGACAGAATAGAATATAGAAGTGCTTTATACATACATACATACATATATATATATATATATATATATATATATATATATATATATATATTTTCTTATTCTGTCTTTCTCGCTTTCACTTTCTGTCAGTCTCATGCTTTGCCTTTTTTTTTTTTTCTCTATCTCTCTCTTTCTCTTCTCTCTCTCTCTCTCTCTCTCTCTCTCTCTCTCTCTCTCTCACTCGCTTTCTTTCTGTGTATTTGTGTGATACCATATGGTTTCTTTTTTTCTTTCGCGGCATATAAACTCCTCGTGGGTCATTTTTACAAAAATATATAACTGATAATTTTTTTTTTTTTTTTTTACAAAAATGTATTGCTGCTAATTTATTTGAATATGAAAATGCATTGCTGGTATTTTTAGTATAAAAATGTATTTCTTATACTTTCATGGGTTTTGATCTCAGGTTTTTTTGGGGGTTTTTTGCGGGTGGATAAATATTTGCCCATCGCTGGTATCCTAGAACTTTCACCACCCATGGTCAGGACGAGGCTGGGAATAACAGCAATTAAGAGATGATTCCGCGCTTCTCAAACTTCAAGATATGAGGTATTGCTTTCCAATGCAGATTATCGTCATACCCAGGGCGAGATACCCTATCGGTCAATCAATTTAAATACAGTACTATAGAACTTATAGTCTTCCGCCATTTTAAACTATTGCAGATTTCTAATAATTGACATCTGATTGTATTGTCTGCAGGTGAACCTTGAGTCTTCTTGGATACATTTTCAGACCTTATTATTATATCTTTTAAGCAAGGGCTTCCAATGAGGACACGCGAGACGACACTCAAACGTAGCGCTGCTATTTTTTTTATTTTCTTTTTCTATTCCACTGCTAAAAGATAATTTTTTTTTTCAGTAAAAGGACTGATTTTTGCTACATAAATTCTGACATCCGGTTCATGTATTCTTTTATTAACATGGCAAAAATTCCCCAAGTAAACAGGATGAACAGAGTGAAAACGATAAAGAACTAGTGACCAACTTTGAATGTCAAAGTCTCAGAGATCTTGTAGTCTTTTGAATCTGCCAATCTATGGTCAGTTACGTAAGCCGAAGCATAGGTTAATACGGAGATTTATCTGCAGACCAAAAATTTCAGCGAAGGAAGATTGATAAACAGGCGATCAATGAGTGCAAGTTTTTCTCTTTGGTATCAGTAGATAACACTAAGTGCCTCCGACAAGAATATGGAATGAAGAGATTAATTGCAAAGAAGAAACCAGCTTTAAACAGAAAGCATCTGAAGGCAGCATTAAGTTGGTCAAAGTGTTATGAACTGTGCGACGCAGATGATTGTTATGGAATCTAGTACTTGTGAAGATGAAGAATTTCATCCCCGGTGCATTGTGGGAAATATAAGATACAGTAAGCGGCAGAGAATGTTAACAATGTGCATTAACATTATATGGTAAATTTCAGAAATTTACAATCTTTTAAAACGATTTTTGCGCGGTACTCTGCACCGCTCAGATGCGCATGTTTCCCCACCCCACCGCCGATAACAACATAGAGACGCTCAAATACATACTTTCTCTTTCATATAAATCTTACTTTCTGTTCGTATAATCACTACATTGTGTGTACATCGGGGTGTGCGTATATTTTCCACTTCCTCTTAACTTACAACCCCGCACTTCCTCTTACCTGACAACCCCGCATCTAACATAGATTATACGAGGTTGCTTTGGGGATAATCTCGCATCTTCCACGCTACTTTATAATCCCAGCAAAAAATATGATAATTAGCCTTACAAATGACACCAATACAGCCGAATTTCCATATGTAGACATGACAATAAGTAACATCCTCTTATAAGATGGCAATTAAAAATTTACAATAGTTTAAAATAGCCTACGACTTTTACAGAATACATTAAAATAATTTATTTCATTGAATCTGAATATCTAAATTTGAGATCATCACATTTTACACATTACTTCCTTTCTTTCATCGTTTCTTTTTTTTTATATCTATATGTGGATTTCCTTGTATCAGCAGGTGAAGAAGGACAGAAAAAATATTTTTGCCCATGGAATGAGAATCCATCTTCCACCGGGTATATTACACACTGAATAAAGTGATAGGACCTCATACGCTCTCAGGTGTCCTCAGCAAAAATCGATAGTATACACGATTTACTGCTAATAGCCTTCATATGTAAAATCACTTTCACCACGATTTTCAAGCAAAGGTAGATTTTGGTAGCAGGTATTCAGCCCCAAAAGTTTTCATATATATATATATATATATATATATATATATATATATATATATATATATATAAATGAAACTATATATATATATATATATATATACATATATATATATATGATATATATATATATATATATATACATATATATATATATATATATATATATATATATATATATATATATATATATATATATATATATATATATCAATACCATCTGTTTTGGTGTGGCTCGTTCGTAATAACGATAAACATGACGTTACCATAGGCTATTTAAAACACTCCAGGTTTCTCCAAAATATAGGATTTGAAGAAAGGTAGTCTTCCTACCACAATAAAATATCAGTTGATGATATTCGAAGGATAAGGATAAATAAGACAAAACCGTGTATATCTCATAATGCAACGTATGCCCGTGGGTGTGCTTATGTGCGTGATGCAGAAAGACAAAGAGACAGACAGATAAGTTTTATTCTTGATAATTCTTACGAACCTAAGAATTTATGGTACTTGTCCTTTTCCAGGTGGTGTCAGAGGGACAGCGGGCATCACCTTTTATCTCCCACGTCAAAACAAATTCTTTCTGTTCGGACATAAGACCGTGACTCTTTTCTGCCTAGTATTAGGGTGTGGCGTCTGGCAGATTTCTGTGTGATCCGTTTGTTTGTTTGTTTGTTTGTTTTTTACTGAAATGATCAGTGGAAAATATCATGAAACCTTATAAGTCTGTGGTGGGGACAAAGAAGGAAAGGTGTATGCAACAGACATCAAAGTAAGTAAGTAAGTAATAATAATAATAATAATAATAATAATAATAATAATAATAACCACACAGACAGAAAAATTGAAGCAAATAGGCCGGACATTATTGTCAAAAACCAGAAAGAAAAAACTTGCCTACTAATTGATATGGCTTGTCCAGCGGATTGTAACATAGCAACCAAGGAATTTGAAAACTATCAAAATACAAAGACCTGGAAATTGAAATAGAAAAAAATGTGGAAATTGAAAAACAAGAATAATACCAGTGGTAATAGGTGCACTTGGAATTATAAAAATGGAACAAAACAACACATTGAAAGAATCCCTGAAACCCCAGCTTAAGAGACATACAGAAAATTGTCTTATTAAGTACAGCACACACACTAAGGAGAACTTTGTCTATGTAACGCTAGCAACTTCATCGGAGATAAAAAAAAAAAAAAAAATTAACATGAATGTGGCCATAACAACACACCACGACCTGCCTTAGGTCTTTCCGCAGACTTGGTAGGTAGTGTGTCCATAGCAGAAATCGAATGATGATGATGATGATGACAATAATAATAATAATAATAATTGTTTAATTATTGTAATAAATATAGTTTCCATCACATGGTATTGATAATATCAAGTCTGTTAACTTTTATTTCCCTGCCAATTCAATCTGACGAGGAAATAAAAGGCAAAAGACCTGATAAAATCATAAAAGACAAGAACTTCAGCAAGTGTATATTTATTGACATAGCAGTACGATCTGAGAGAAACGCCTACATGAAAATTATCGAGAAATTGCCCAAATACAGGGACCTGGAGATCGAGGTTATCAGGATGTGGGGAATGAAGACTGAGACTGTACCAATAGTAATTGGAGCTTGGTTCCTCGTGAGAAAAGAACGAAACATTTCACTAACAGTATTCCAGATAACACCAACATACAAATTGCACAGAAGATCGCCCTACTAAGAATATTCTATAATCTAAGTAAAGTGCTGTCAATTAAATGACAATTCTCCTATAGAGCCGAAGGACCATAGTTTCAGCCTGTCTCTATAGGATACAAAGCAAGAAACATAACGTACACATATAATGATGTTAACAATAATAATATTACAGACAGATAGAACAATAAAAACTAACCACCCAGACATATAAATCCCGGTATAACAGGGTGGGTAAATATATGTACTGGACAATCAATAATTTTTTTTGTGAAAGAAACTGCAAGAAATTCCTATGAATATCTGCCAAACCCATTTACAAACATTGGACCTGTGACAATGTTTTTCATTTCGCTGAAGCAATGGTCTAGCAAGGATCCCTTCATTGAGTCTATCAGAACCTTTTCCAACCAAAATGAGGGCCCCAGCCACAACTTGTATTTCCGATGTTTACAATACAATACAATTTTCTGGACCTTTACAATACACACAGACAGAATAATA